GGGCAACCACAATGAAAGTTTTTTAAACTCCTGGCGGTCCTTTCTACTTTGCTAAAATAGATAAAATCGAACGTACGCAATCAGTAGATTTTGCATAAAAAGATGAGGTCATCGTTCACTTAACCTTTGCTTCTCAAACGCAATTATCTCTGTGTTGTTTGTTGACCACGGCGGGCAATAACGTTTATGTGTAATAGTGAACTCGACCGAAAAAAAATAAACAATAGACAACTGACCATCTTTTGTGAAATAGCTTTAGCGACTACAGCTTTAGTTCAAGGAACGGTCTGTTTAGGCAGTGGGGTAGCGAGTAAAAGAAATGTGCACACACCTTAGAAGTAAACAATCCCTGTTTCGAGTTAGCAAATCCATAGGAATGTGACACTAGTTGAATAAACGACGATTCTTCTTGTTCTTGTTCTTCTTTTTCTTCCGATTTCTCAAGACATTTGAGCCACTCATATTTGTGCTCTTCTGGTTCCTTCTCAACAGAGTCATCCAGCATTTTGATACCACCCTTCATGGGCAATGAATCGGTTTTTGTCGGCTTGATGATGAATTTGGATAGTAGATCCAAATCCTTGAAAATTTGGCCCGGTTCCGCCTTCGTAAGAGTCACAAGCAAATCTCCCTTGTCCAACTTGAACTGAATGTGATCCTCCGTCTCAAGCACGTCACCGGGCAGTCCAAGCCTACATTAAGTGAACGAAGTGATTAGCAAAACTACCTCAGATAGTAGGGCGGCGCTGTGAAGTATAAAATTCCATCTTCAACCAGGAGCTCGGAGTTGCCAAGGTCTCCAAGAGGTATATGCAGTTTGATGAATAAGTGGACGTCTGACTGAGATAGATGAAACAGAGGTGCGAGCATTCTAAACTAGCTGAAAAAATAACGGATGTTTGCCCAATAATAAGAAACAAAGCGGAATTTGTTGTTATCATGAAGGTTAAAAAAGTCCGAAAAGAAAAGTAGCCAAAAATTCCATTGATGTCTGGCAAATATTTCTCGTCAATATCTCATGCCAGCTTTTGACGCCGTGTTATGAGTTTCCACCATTACTCACATTAGGTGAGTTCAGAAAGTAGGATACGCTTGCCTACGTTACTAATTTATGAGACCATTTCTGTATAGCGAATGACTGTTTTCAGTTCCAGCGGTCACTATCAGACTCTAGAGCAATCTTTTGACCGACAGTCATGCAAAACAGGGAAAAGAGTTCAGTATCTGTTTACCGCGTCTGTTTTTGTTTTTACCTAGTCAACTTGACGCCCTTAAGGCACTCGGTCCGGCGCAAATGACGACTTC